TCCAGTAGTACGTATGGGCTTACAGGCAGCCCACTAAGTAAAACAAGGACCGCCGACTTATGCACGTTAAAATGTTGAACGATAAAAAGACTTTCTTCTTTAAAAAAAAATTTTTAAGAAACACTTTTATCAATTTGACTTGTGCCGACGCAATACTTAATGCTCAGCTCTCTGAAACTCAGGAAAAGAAAAGGCTCTTATTCAATTGATGCTGTTATGAATCGGATAGAGGCAGGACCTGGAAATTCACTTTTAGGATTCTTCCTCGTTTGAAACGAAGGGGTTGGGAGTAATGGAGGCGGAGAATTGCGACGGCCGGCAACTGAGGCAGGGCAAAGAAAGAGAGTGTGTCAGAATAAGAGGGGAAACGTTTAGCAACGAATCGGAAAATATCCCGTTTACCAAGAAAATAAGGACAACCCTCCTCGCGACGGGGTTCCTCCAAATTCAGTCGACCGAACTTAAGATAGGCCGTTGAGGGGAGTGGAAAAGAATAAAGGAAAATTAATGGGAACGAGTTAGGAAAAACGTTTCGATGGCGATTCAATTAAAACAAAAACGATTTTCAATATTGCTTCTCTTCTTCTTTTAAAACATACATCGTTTTTCATTAAAGATTGGAACGCCTTCACTTTTTTGGAGGAATGTCAGAATGCAAAGTATTGGGTTGGTACAAAATTACTGCAGGTTTTGCAAATTTGTTTTATTTTCGCAGGTACTTGCCACGTGAACAAAGCTAAATCCTCAAATCTAATTTATTAATTATAATAAATACCACTCAAATTTGTTTGTACGAATTTTAAACTTGGGCGAACAGCGGCCCAAACCGCACGAAGCATCAATAGAGTTTGGGGGAAGGAAGCATTAGCGACTGCACGGTGCAGCGATGTTTTCAGAGATTTCTTCTTGGAGATTTCCATCTGTGGACGAAGACCAACTCACAAGTTGATTGAGGAAATTCACGTAAGTTAACACTGGAAATTGCGGAAGAGCTTAGTTTTGACCATCAACCTGGCTATCTGTGCGAAACTGGTAAAGTTAAGAAGCTGGAGAAGGGGGGGTACCTCACGAAAAACAACCCAAAAGAAATCGACGCTTTGAAATTTGTACAACTCTGTTGCGCACCAATCCAGTTCTCGATCGAATCACAAAGTACGATGAGAAATGGATCCGGTACAATAAGAGGAGGCGTACAAAACAGTGGTTGGTCGAGGATGAAGCGCCGAAATACTTCCGGAAACTAAATCTGCACCCAAAAAAGATTATGGTGACAGTTTGGTGACGTACTGCTGGAGGTGTTCACTATAATTTCCCGAATTATGGTGAAACTAACACAGCAGAGAAATATTGCCAAGGAATTGTCAAAACGGGATACTGCAACGCCCAGGAATGGTAAACCGTAAAGGGCCGAATCTTCTGGCCACATGTTGCAATGCACCCTCCATATTCGACCCCTCGCTTCCTTTCCACTTTTTCAGGCATTTTGATCACTTCTTGCTGGATAAATTTTTAAAGAACGCGGTGAAGCCGAAATCACCTTCCAAGACTTTATTGTATGCCCAAACAAAGATTTTTATTTCATCGGAATAAAAGCGCTAACTCACCTGAGGAAGGATTAAAATAAATCCGAAACGTGTGGATTGAAAAACGCTGGTTGTTGTTTTTTGAGATGACCTATTATCCCACCTCCGAGAAGGAAAAATCAGAACTTAATATTTTTATTTGGGCTATGATTTACAAGACGTGATTTATACTTATCAAGTGACTCGAACTCCTTGCTGACCCCCCTCTCTGATCTAAAAAGGAAGAATCATGGAAAATCATCGAGGAACGATAGAAGAACGTCTACAGGAAACAATCTTGATAGCAAAATCTCCAGGGTGATTCAATATTTTTAGGAAGTAACAATTTCCCTGAGCGGTATCCGGCTTGTGAGTCAGAAGGAATATCAGAGAAACGAAACCTGTATTACTTAATCCTATCACAGTCCCAATCGTCACTTCACAAAATGAACATCGCCTTCTTTATCTGCCTGCACATTGTGGTAAGTAAGCACGATGAAAACAACACTCCATTAGTTTTTACTAGAGTATGAAAATATCTGCTTTCTGGCGTGAGTTGTATTACAATTTTCTGACTGTACATATCAGCTTCTACTTCCATTATTTTAGATTATGTTATTAAACGCTTATTTTCAAAACAAGGAACATACATTTAAAGATACTTCATTGACTTTCAGTAACACGTAGACGAATGGAAAATACCTGTTTCTCATAAAATATAATTTAATACCTCGATCTATGTTCGAATTTTAAGGTGAAAATGTAATGTACTGAACGAATTATAAATAATGACTGTTCGCATTTTCGATCCCTGGCATTAATTAAAGACATTAATGCAATCGGATTAACCTAGAATAGAAAATTCATCAGCTAATAATACTACATTAATATCTGCTAATCTGTTATTCGTATGTTTAAATTAAAAATTTGATAAAACTAACTTTTTTAAATATATACCAGTTTTTGTCTTTGTTTAGTATAAACATTGAACAGATTGAATTAAAAGTCGTCAGAGTTTCTATGCGATGCATGAAAATTTCTTTGATTGTTAGAAACAATCTAAATAGGCCAAGGATATCGATTTTAAATAGGAAATCAGCAAATCAATAATAATCCATAGGATTGATAGTTTCCTTTTGGAACAACGTAATTGTAAATTTAGTAACATTTTCCCTGCGCGCTACTCGCTATTTTTTTAATAATTGAAAAGGCTTAAAATACAACAAACTTCAAGAGGTTGCTCAGTACGATTGGTAACAATTTATAACCAAGTAGCTATAATAAAAATTTAAATTGTATTTTTAGTCAAATTACATTAATCGAAACGTGTGGTATTTAGTGAGCGTTAATTAATGTGCGAGATGCCGTCTGGTGTGAAGTACGTTTATCCTGCCAACGTTTCTATATTTCAATTAATTAAGATTTTTAGTTGAGACAAAAAAGTCAGTGTCACGAGCGGGATTCTAAAACACTCTACACACTACTCTGAAAAAAAATGGCAAAAAGGAGGGAAAATTCAAAGGTGGGGTTGAGATGGGAAGTTAGTGCTTGAGTGGATCGAAGTCATGATAGCTCAAGTGGTAGAGGAGCGGCGTATTGAGCCGAAGGTCGTGGGTTCGAATCCCGCTCGTGCCATTTACTTTTTTATCTCAACTAAAAACCTTAATTAATTGTATGATATTAATTGATCAAGCGGACCACGAAAACTAGTGAATTTAATAAGTTTCTATCTTTATTGAGATCATCTTCAGGGCCTGGGAATCACAAACATTGTTTAAATTATACAAATACATATAGGATGTGAAAAAATGAATTTATATAATGGCATAAATTCTTTTTTTACATCTTACATACATTTGTACAATGTAAACAATGTTTATAAATCCTAGGCCCTGAAGACGATCTCAATAAAGATCGAAACGTTGGCACGATAAAGAAAATCCAGACCGCATCTCACCATCTTCAAATAATCATTAATTAAAACAGCGATTGTTTCCTCCAGGTTAAAAATGTTATTTTATTCGCTTTTCATTCCTGTTAGAAAACTATAAAAAGTCTGGTAGTAACGCAGTTGATTTTACTTTTTACACCGACCTCTGACCTATAATTTGATCCTTACTGTGATCATCTTGGTGTGGCTATCCACCAGCTCTGCTAGGTCTCTTTATTCATCTTTCTGTGTGATTCTATCAAATCCAGTCTCTTATAGTCATGGAGCGGGGTACGTGTCAACTAGGGCAAAGCATTGACAAAACCAACTCACTGATAAAAATGAGTCGTACGCCATAAAATAACATATAGGTTCACGAATCCCTCAGCAATACTTCCATAAACTACTAATAAGTCATACAAAAGGGCTTAAGTCAAACTTGTTGTAGGACGTGGGTCAAACCATTCACCGCAGTCCCAATCATAAAAAATCACAAATATTTATTAGGTTTCGTGGTCCGTTGACTAAATTAATTATTTTCAATTAATTATCTTTACTGAAGGTTTTGGTTGAGATAGAAACTGAAAAATGGCAAAAAGGAGGGGGGGAAAAGGTGGGGTTGAGATGGGAAGTTAACCAATACGTTACATAAAAAGATTAATTAATTGAAAGAAGTTATTTGGTCAATCGGACCACGAAATATACTGGATTTAATAAGTAAAAGGAAGTATGTATTCAAAGGAAGGTTGAGATGGGGAGTTTGTGTCCGAGTGGATAGAAGTCACGATAGCTCAAGTGGTAGAGCAGCGGCGTATTTAGCCGAAGGTCGTGGGTTCGAATCCCGCTCGTGACACTGAATTTTTTAACTCAAACAAAACCTTAATTAAAGATTAATTAATTGAAAAAAATCACAACGTAGACCGCGTAAAAAAAACGAAAACTGATTTCGAAAAATTGGAAATATACAAAAGCTAAATACATTTATTTAGAAAACTCATAAACACACAAATTTTCAAACAGCAATTCACACGCATCTTTTCAATCACTCAAACCACACAGTATCAAGTAAAAACAAAAAGGACCGACTATCACTCTGTTGGACCGGAACAATTAAAAAAAAAAAAAAATAAACTACCAAAGGCATGGACAAATAAAGAAAACGCCGACTCGCACATACCCCTAACGACATTGAGAATTGCAAAAACGCCCCACACTGAAGAAGGCGAAATGCTGAAATGCGGGACAGTCCAACCAGATTGGTAAAAATTTCGTAAAGAGAAATGAACTAAATTAAGTTTTAATTGTGAGAGTTTCACGTAGTTGGTCTACCGCCTTTCGGCTTCTCTTCATCTTCAGTGTGGGGTCTGTGTAACAAAACGAATCAAGACAAGGCAGACCAAAATGGTCAGAAATAACCAAGCAAAATTATGGTTCCTTAGACATATTTGTATTTACTCATCAACAAAAATGATCAATAATGTCTGAACATAAAAGCATAAATGTTTTAGGCGGCTGCCAGTTTGGACTTGTATGAGCAGTTAGTCATAGAAGAGATTCGTGGAAAACTGATCTCGGTGAGAGAATCTGTTTATGAAATGGAAAGGGCCGTGGATCGATTCAGCACTCTCGTCAAAGTGATGCAGAAAGAGACGATGAACTCCATCAAAACATACGATTTACAAACGGAAAGAAACCACACAAGTTTCTTGAATTCGATAGAAAACAAAGTATGTGAAAATTCCATACACAAATGTTCCCCATTCATGCCGAAGATGCCACTTTTGGGTAAGAACGTATCTCGAAAGATGAAATATCTATCTAGGAGAATACTAGAGACGAAAATTTTGGTGAAAAAAGTACTCATCGATTTCGATTTTGCCGAGGCGGATTTTCGAGTCAGGTACGCGGAGTGTAAATCTAAGCATTACGGTGACCAGTGCGTCAATGAACTGAACACGTGGTGCAAATCAAAGGTGGACCATTTCAGGGCTGCGAAGAACAATTTCACTGGACAAATTTTTCGCTTTTTGGACAATGTTTCAACAATGTCGGCCAAAGCGGACGAGTTGAAAAAATCGCTTGAAACAGAAAGGAAAGCTATGACCGAGAGGTTTTCCCTTTGCTTGGAGGCAGCTTGCAAACAGACGGCCGTCAGGAAGGTGGATTCTTCGATGAAAAAGCCAAATAAAATCACGAATCGAAAAGCATTACTCCTCAGAAGAAGAGAACATTTAGTATCTTTATTGAAGAATGCTGAAAGGTGGCAAAACTTACAAAATCTACACACATTGGTTCATAGACAATGAAAAATCAAATACATGTACATACAAATACTGTTTATAAATTTGTGTATTTAGTATTGTCACACTTTTTGATACTTTTTTATTTTGAGTTTTATTCCATTTGTTTGTTATCACTGAGCATTGTTCATTCAAAGACAACAACAATTTATATACCACAATCATTTAATGAAAACGTTTGTTTTATTCGGCTCAGACCTGTGATTGCCCCTTTATTAAATTTACTGCTACTCAATTTGTAAGTGTTCTACGTTAAATATATGTATGTAGATTGAAACTGTTCGTTTAATTTCAAGCCTATACCTTTGGGCCAAATGAATAATTTTAGTTAGAAATATAAATTAAATTCGGAGGAATTGCCATAAGATGGACACAATTTGCGTGAGTAATATATTATTTACGTTATGATGATGGGCAATTTAAAGGACAGTGTATCACATATTTATAAATAGTCAGAGCAGATCTTGTTTATTTCCTTATAATATAGTACAATAATTGATCTTTTTTTTCGAACGCACACGAAAATAGGGTTAAAGAAATGGTGTAAAGAAAGAAAAATTTGCTTAGAATTTTAACAGGTTCAGCCAACAGGTGAAGGAACATGCAGAAAGTCGATTAAGAACGAACAATACGTTTTAATGTGTAGAGTTTAGCCCTGAAGATGATCTCAATAAAAGATCGAAACGTTGGCACGATAAAGAAAATGTTTTTCTGAAACCTACATCACACCCGACCGCATCTCACGATATCTGAATAAAAATACGTTTTAACTTTAACTTAAAAATTTAATAGGAAAAATTTAAGAAAGGAGATTAAAAACAGTACTGTTTATAACGCTCAGAAATAATACTTATGGGAAGGAACAAACGCACGCGCGCGCGCGCGCACACACACACACACACACACACACACACACACACACACACACAAAACACACAAATATATATAGAATGTATCAACTTCTGTAGACCATTCTAGAACTTATTTTATGCCAATTTTACTGAAAGGGAAATTTTGATAGGACCGATCATTTCTGAGTTATGCCCGACGGAAGACGCGAGTAGGGGATATGCTTTTTGTAACAACAAGATGGCTCTCCCCGTTTATTTCGAAAACGATTAACTTTAGCAAAAAAAGGTCTTATACATGCCCCAAGTTAATTTTGTGAGGTCGTACCAGATTTAACTTCTCATCTAGCTGGGAAATGATAGTAAATTTGTTATTTTAATTTTTAGTATCCTAAATTAACTTGCTAATGATAATCGTTTTCGAAATAAACGGAGAAGGCCATGTAGTTAGAAAAAACATGCCCCCCCACGACATGACTTCCCTCGGTCCGAACTGGTCAATCCTTTCAAAATTTTCCTTTCAGTAAAAGTGGCATAAAATAAGGTCTAGAATCGATCTTTACAATAAAAATATGGGATTCTTATTTAAAATAACAAAATTAGTGTCATTTCCCAGTTAGATGAGCAAGTTATGTTAAATCTGTTATCATCACTCTATTCCTAGCCAAAATAAACTTGGTATATGAATAAATGGTGATTAGTGACCGTTAATCGATAATTATTCAGAAATCGTGAGATGCGGTCTGGTGTGATGTAGGTTTCAGAAAAATATTTTCTTTATCGTCCCAACGTTTCGATCTTTATTGAGATCATCTTCAGGGCTCAAAGTGTCTGCCTTCTGTGTAATTGTGCCATTCTTGCGTGTCGTGTTGAGAGTGCCACGCCATTACACAGAAGACAACACTTTGAGCCCTGAAGATGATCTCAATAAAGATCGAAACGTTGGCACGATAAAAAAAATGTTTTTCTGAAACCTCCATCACAACAGACCTCATCTCACGATTTCTGAATAATTACATGAATAAGGTCATTTTTTGCTAAAGTAGTTGTTTCCGAATTAAATGGGTGGACTATAGAAGTTGATAAACCCCGTAAAATATGGTATATGATTGTATACCATATTATATACATGTATGTATGTATGTGTATGTGCATATTTTCTCAATCTTTTAAGTCACAGACTTGCACTAGGTCTCATTTTTATTACATTTTACGTTTAACAAGTTGGCTTTTTCAAATGTTTTCCTTCATTCATCAGTAAATTCAAAAATTCGGGAACTGATCACCCTGTTCTGCCAATCCTTCTTCCGTGGTATGTTATGTCTCTGTTTTATTTTGTCAACATTGTCATTATTTATGGAAGAGATGACGAGCGAGTAAGGCGTCCGTCTCTCGGTTCGTCTCAGACCAAGTCGTGGGTTCGATCCCACCTCAGCAAATTCCCTCCACCACTAAAGGATTTGGTTGAATAATTTTGCTAATATGTAAAATATATATATCGCCGAAAAAGTCGGCCAATATAATCGGAAGCCGCTAAAAATAAAAAGTGCTGTTTTTGTTGTTCGTTTTCTTGGATGTGGTGTGTGTTTTTAGAAAATGAACTCTCCAGTGAAGACTGAATCTCAAAGGCATGAATGTAAGTTTGTGTTACATGTTAAAAATAACAAAATACCAAAAGGACCAAGATGATACGGAAAGGCTAAATAGCAATAGAAACGGGGGATACGCACATCACCGCGGATAATAGAAAAAACCTCGAATTTCATGTATGAACTTATGTACAGATATACAAATAAGTACACATAAGTTTTTTTTTACCACAATCTCTTCATCCCACACTCCTCTATAACTCAAGTATACGTGACAGCGCGGATAGCGGGATCTACTGTATAACTGTTTTATTAAACAAATTTTTTCAACTTAATGACTTTTCATTTGTCCATAAATTTTGAAAATGTACTTATACACGCCGTTTTTGATCATCTCTGCCTAGTCTCCCTTGTTTCGTCTGTAGGGAAGTTTCTTAATTTTACCATATCCAGTAGCGGATTTCTGTTTTATTTGGCCTATCATGTTCCATTTGCAACCGTTTTTAGATCTTCGAAGGTTTCCTCCACTGAATTTGTCTCACAGTCTTACATCAGCAGCAAGAGGATGAACTGGAATGATCAAAGTACATAGACTTGGTTTAAATTACGTCATTTACTTAGTTTAATTAATAAATACGAGTAATATAAATTTAGTATATAATATAATAATATTATAATATAAATTAACTAGAGAGTTGAATTTTAACTGATTATAATTTGTTTACCACTTTATTTAAAAAAAATTTGAAAACCATGGTTGATAATTTATCTACTCGAATAAATTCCCATTAAGAGTACAGGTCAGAATTAAAAAAGGGTCGTTTTGATGTAAAGAGATAATTAGGTCGTAATTTGGTCGTGGCGGACCAAATTTGAGGATGTGTATTAGCGATCTGTCCAAAGCTCCAACGGATGAAAATCCTTCAAACTGCTGAAACTATATATCGTTTTAAAAGGGGCTAATAAATTTCGGTACGATTGTAATTATTGCAAGGGGGCGTTAGACGCGGAGAATGTGTTAAAAGGTTCATTGTTCACGAGTTGTAAATGAATTCAATGGAATTGAAACTCCTGGAGAGAATCCGGCCCGGCCATACATATCCGACGGCTTTTAGTATTAGGCTTTTATGCGAGCCGAGTCAAGCATCCCTCGTCCCTCGTTTAACACCCAGAGGTAAGCGCTTAACTGACAATCCTCCGTGAAATCCACGGTGGGGGTTTTTATTTCCAGGATCATCCCGCATGCCGACGCTCAAATAAAAATGGAAGTAGCGGAGTGAGAAAAATAAAATAAAATCCAACTGAGGCGTTGGTAACAGAAGAGATCACTGGGTTTGTACGATGCGGTCCGATTCGAGAGGTATTTTACGTAGAATCGCTTTATACAATATAAAAGATGGGTTGCACGTCTTGAACAAAGCACATCTTCCAGTTGTCATTTCTGGAGAAACTCAACTCTTCCTAAGTTGGGAAACATTAATTACTATTGTAGGCTTGGATACGACAAACTATAATGTCAATTTCCCAAACGCAAACCTACTAACAATAAAGGTATATAAAGAGCTGTGGTAATAAAGTTTTATTAATATTGTTTGCAAGTAAAGAGAAAACAGGAAAGAAACTTCTTTAATAAAACATGATTTCAAATTGTTAACATTGTTTTGAACATTTTCCTGTGACACAAAATTATTTTCCAGTACAATATAGCACAAGATAATCAGGATCACAACAGCCCTGACCAATGAGTTTCCCACAAGGCAACACATTGACAGAAATAACAGACAAGATGTCGCTAAAGAAAGAGCATTGTGGAATTTCATTTTCTTGGATACAGTCTGACGGATAAGGAATCACCAAATACCGATGCTTCGTTTTTATATAAATCTATACGAATTTTCAGACACTATATCGGCAAAAGTGATTTATTTTATGTACATGTATTATTTTTAAACATTTAAAGTTGTTTGATATGTTCACATCATTAGAATTACTTTCAATTAATTAATCTTTTTATGTAAGGTACTGGTTGAAATGAAAAAGCCAATGTTACGAGCGGGATTCGAACCCACGACGTTCGGCTCAAAACGCCGCTACTCTACCACTTGAGCTATCGTGACTTCGATCCACTCGGACACTAACTTCCCATCTCAACCCCACCTTTCTAATTTTCCCTCCTTTTTGCCATTTTTCAAATGTCGTGTAATCAGGATTTGATTCTCGGCGACATATGAAGTGGCCACGGAGAGCTGTTATTGAAAATATACTTCGTTTTACTGATTAAATCCATTATATTTAGTGGTCTTATTGACCCAATTATTTCATTCAAGTAACTAATCTTTTTATATAAGGTTTTGGTTGAATATATCAATATCTCACTGGCACTCTCAACATGACAGAGAAGAAGACACATCTACACGGAAAGCAAACATTTTCAGCCCTGAAGATGATGTCAATAAAGATCGAAACGTGGGCACGATAAAGAAAATGTTTTTCTAAAAAAACCTACGTCAGAACTGACTGATCTCACGACCTCCAAATAATCATTAATTAACAGTCACTAAACACCACCCATTAGAATTACTATTGAATTATATGGTTTAAAGTAAAAATCAAATTAATCTTAATCTTAATCTTTGTTACGGAAAATGCATAAGGTTCTCAAGAGCGATCACGTTTTAATACGAAATTTCTTTTCTACAGGGTCTGAAGATATTGTATATGGAAGATGAAAACTCATTTCTTCTTCTTTACAATATTTGCCAATCCATTTGAAAATCGCCGCAATGATTTAGTCGACAAACATCCCTTTATTGGAGCCCATG